ATTTTTTTTCGAGTTAGGTCTTTTCTGATCACGAATTCTGAAAGAGCACCCTCGAAAACATAAAAATCCACATTTTCATATTTTCACTTTTTCTGAGTGAATAACTTTGAAATTTTTTGGAATCGTCTCTTAAGTCAAGGGAACAATTTTTTTTATCCTATTTTCTATTTATTTATTTATGATGAGCGAAAATCATATGAAGTTATGTAAAGTGTTCCATTAAGGCCTATACAATAATGTATAATGTTTCATGGATTCGTTACTCCCCACCGTAATCGTTAGAACCGCTGACTTGAGATCATTTGGAAAGTATATAAGCACTGTCCTATCGTTTATAACCATATTGCAGATATTAGTATCTGAATTGAAATATTCATTAAACATCCTTAGAAAAATGACTTCTGACTGCGTGGTTGATATTCAGTCCTTCAAGATTAGTAACAAGAAAGGAGAAATCAGGTGGGCTGTGAAGGAACTGGGGATTTATAATGGTAAAATTTCTTACCATTATATATTTAAGCCACCTTTTCCCTTTCATCAGCTATCAACAGAGCTACAAAAGGAGGCGAATTGGGTCATGAATTTTCACCATGGTATTCCATGGGATGATGGTTATGTATCTCTCGAAGATTTCCCTAAAATCCTTGAGGGAGCAACCAAGACAGCTGGAATTATTTTTGTTAAAGGGAACCAGAAAGCAGAATTCCTGAAGAAGTATATAAATAAGCCGATAATGGAACTTCCGGAACAGCCCAAATTAAAACCAACCATTCCGGAATGTTGGAATCACAAGCTGGACAGTTGTGCATGTGCATTAGCTAATGCTTATAAATTGTACAATTTATATTTAGAATACGTAAAATAAAGAAATAAGTTATATATTTTTGTCTTTTATTATTTTCCATGTAATATTTAAGAATATACCTTGTTCAAAATCTGAATCAAAATATTCAAGTAAGTTATACATGTTTTGACTGTTTTATTAGTTTACCTGTAATAAAGAAATATTATACATTCTTGAATTTCATTATTTTCCTTGTAATATTCAAAATATACAAATAAGATACATTTTGTGGATGTTTTTTTAAAAATAAAGAAATAAGATATATTTTTGTCTTTTATTATCTTCCATGTAATATTTAAAAATATACCTTGTTTAAAATCTGAATCAAAATATTCAAGTAAGTTATTCATTTTTTGGCTGTTTTATTAGTTTACCTGTAATAAAGAAATATTATATATTCTTGAATTTCATTATTTTCCTTGTAATATTCAAAATATACAAATAAGTTATACATTTTTTGGATGTTTTATTAAAAATAAAGAAAT